TCAGAGGATAATGATGATATATTGTTTTATTTTATTTTTCAGAATATCATGCTCTTTGATTTAGTTTATCCTTGTCTGTTCCGAAAAGTTCCTTTCTTGTGGTTCCAGTTACTTCAGTGACATCCTCAAGAAAATAACTACACTGTGAGACACACTTCACCATTCTTTTCCATTTCTTTTCTATTTCTCTCCATACTGTCATAGTCATAGCTTAGAATGAAACAATTCCACCAAATATGTATTATGACAGCCAGGCTGACATGGTAAGGCCAGAAATACTGATATGAACAGAAAAGAAATGACGGGGCAAAACAATCACAAATAGGCTTTTCTCTACATCTAAATAATGTTGCATACAAAGGAGATTTTATAGTGAGATCACCCAAAAGTGGGACAAAACTATTAAAAAATGTGAGAATCCTAAACTGATACAATAAAGAGGGGACCACGTGTGTCTTCTTATCCCCCCTAACGTTCAGGTCTAACATCAAACTTAGGGCAGAGCCCTGCAGGAAAATGTTTCCCTTCCCTCCTCATGAAGGTTGTCAGCCTCTATTCTAATAGATGAAAGCCATGTGGCTGGCTCCCTGAAACCATTGCTGACATTCTTTTAATCACTATGCGTAAAAAAAAAAAAAACACTATGCATAGTGAGAAAACTGATTGCCTGTCTGACAAATAAGGAAACTGAGCTTTAGAGAGAGGCAGGTTAACTTGCACAGGTCATGCAGCTCATCAGTGAAAGAATCTGAGCAAAGGTCAGACTTGCTCTTAAGTGGAGTGGGTCCAGGCTTCTCAAGAGCTGAGCTTTATGGAAAGCCTACATGCTACTCTGGGTCCCCATGCTTGCTCCTCAGAAGAGGACCCTTATCCTTTGTCTTGCTCCCCTTGAGCCTATGCCTGGCCCAAGGCAAGTGTTCTGTCTGTACCCCTCAACATGCCCTTGAACCCAGTTGGCAAGCTCTTCTTGGCTTGGCTGGCCATTATTCCTCCAGCCGTTGGAGGTACAGATAGATATCAAGGATTGAGGGTTTAAAACTTTTCACTCCAAGGTTTGATGCACTCATTGTTCTGCAGTGGAGTGTTGCTATTTTGTAGCTGCCATCTGACAGACTCCCAGCTACAGATACTGCTCTCACATATGACACTCTTGTCAGGTCTGTGCCACTCTTGTGCTTCGGGTCACTCTAATCAGCTTCACTGTCCTTCTTGGGAAAGCATAGCACTGCCTGGACAGAGGGTGCCACCTGGAAACGTCCTCTTCTGTAATATACAGTAGTCTATGTCTACTTCCTACTCTTCATTTCTCACCTGGTTTCTTACCAGTTCCTCTTTCTACCTCCTCAATCGTAGTAAACATATCTGTTGCTGCTGGTCCCTACATAGCATATCTGTCCCTATATAGCAGTTCCAAGGGTACATTTCCTACTCCTCTGATATCAGATGTCACCTTTTCAGTTTTGGCCAAAAAAATCTCACTGAAAGACCAAACACCAGAACTGATGTGTTTAGAGCTGCAGTGTGGTTCGGCTATTGCTCCACCATTGGAATGGCCTATTCTTTGGCCTGTGTTCATGGGGGAAAAGACCAGGGCCACAGCTGCACCGAGCCATGGGCAGCAAGGAATATAAGCACAGCATGAGCTTCTTAGTCACTGAGAAGTGCACTGAGCTGCACTTAGTCACTGAGATTCAGGGTGGTTGGCTACTGCAGCACTGTCTGGCAAACACTGACATGGGAACCAGAACCCAGGAGTTAGAACCAACAGGTATCCTGAAAGCATCTCCATCTCTGGGGTCCACACATTGGTTGAGAGACATCTCTTCATCAAAATGGCTATGGCAGTGCATTCCCTGTACCACTCCAAAGACATGCTTCAATCTTTGCTAACTCAATCTCTTAAGCCTCATAATTAGTACCTCTTACAAAGTTTTGTGGGGGCCAATAAAATCACCACCCAGTTCCTACCCACCTCCCTGATGCCTTTGTTCCTATGAAAGCTGGCCAGCTTCCAGGTACTTTGTCCAGCCTCTGCCCCAGCTGCCTCTTTCCCTTCCTCTCTTTCTTCCTTGTAACAGAAACATCTACCAAACACGCACTCTGCATAGGGCTCTGTTTAGGATCTTGTGTGGACAGTATGGATGGACATTCATGGTTCACATCCAGGTTTTGGAGGTAGAAATCTTGTACATTCAGAAGCTCCTTTTTAAAAACAGAAATTGAAAATTATGGATACAAAATGAGGTACAGGGTCTTAAAAGGGCCTTTGTAAGGGAGAGAACTGTATAAGTAATTTGCTTCACACACAGTCAATACACTTGCTGGAGGAGAGGAGTAATATGTGAAAAGATGGCAGGAAACTCTTAGATGATGGTGTATTAGTCATGTTCCCACTGCTGAGACAAAATACTCAACATCTAACCTTTAAAGGGGAGGTTTATTTTGGTTCATGGTTTTCAGAGTATTCAGTCCATGACTGGTTAGCTCCAAGGCAGAAATGAGCTGGTGGAAGATGGTGGAGGAAAGCTACTAACCTCATGGAAACCAGGAAGCAGAGAGAGAAAGGAGGAGCTGGAGAGGGGGTCTACCCTCCAAAGCCACTTCTCTTAGTGACATGCCTCTTCCTACCAGGCCCCACCTCCTAACAGTACATTTACCTATGAATCCACTGATGAAATAGTACTCTCACAGTCCAACACCCTTGAAAAGCCCCAGGTCTGAACACATGAAATTTTGGGGGGACATTCTAGATCTAACAGATAAAGAGCTATAATGCCAATAAACAAAGCCTTTGAACAGGAAGTAACTGGGGCGCCCCTTCAGAATGGGGTTGACAACACTGAATTTTACCTAAGCCCTGTGTCAGTTTTTCATTGCTTAATATAAACAGCTTAAAGGAGGACAGATTTATTTTGGGTCATAATTTCAGAGGTTTAAATCCATGATCATCTGGCTCAAGGTAGAAACTTCATGGTAGAAGGGCATGGCAGCAGAGCTGCTCAAGTCATGGCATCTGAGTAATAGAACACAGGGGAACAGTGCCAGAGTGCCAGTGACCAGATACAGTCCTCAGCCATGCCCTCAAGACTCAGCCAGACACCCCCAAGATGTGCTTTACTAATCTTCTAGACATTTATCAAGATAATAAAGCTGACAGTCAAGATGAACCATCATACCTTGTGATCCTCTGGGCCTAGAAGCATGACTCCTTGGTGGAGTGCTTGTCCAGCACGTACAAGTCCCTGGGACCCATCCCCAGCACTGCAAAAACAAAACAAACAACAAAAAAATAGAGTGCTGTTTGCAAAATAATTAAACAAACAAAAGACAACGTTTAAAAAATCCCCTCACTTTGGGCTGTGGAAAATCACTGGGTTTGATGGACGCTCCTTCCCAGCATGATCTAGATGAGCATCAAGGAGGCCCTTAACTGCAGAGGACAAGCCAGACACTGATCCTCCATTCTTTGTCTCATCAGGAATGGGATGAGCTCATGGTTTTCAGGGGTGTGTTCATGGTGCACAGAGACACACAGCTTGTGACCCAAACCTTGCCTGAGGTCAAGCTCCCTGATTTGCTGTCTGATGAATCCACTCCCCAATCCAGCTCTTTCCTGCCTCCTCTCCTCCTCTCTACATAGAGGCCCCTTTGTGCCAAGCTCTTGAGACTTGCAGGCCTTGTCCCCTCTCACTGTGGCAGTCCCATCCTCATCTCTTTCACAAGCCCTTTCTAATAACTCTGCTCCTTGGGCGTGGTTTCTGTCTGGTAGAGGTCAAAATACTTAAGGAGATATTGAAATAGGACTGTGGCTTAGGGAAGAAATAGGGTTCTGTGAAGCAGTTTTGCATTTTAAAATGGATATTTTTAGCCTAAGACAAAAACAGAAGGAAGACCGCCCCCCCCCCCAGGGGATAAGCCCTTGTTACTAGAGAAAGGAGTTAAACGAACCAGAGAAAATGGGAGTTGGGTCAGGGTGAAGCAGAAGAGGCCAGGGCAGCGCACGCCGTGTCCACTGCACAGATGGCACTTAAGTAGCATCTACTGGACGCTATCCAAAGTGCCTGGGAGTGAGGCACTATGTGCAAAACTGACATGCACCTCACTGCAGTCTGCAGGGAAAGACAGACATTAAAGCAATAATCATGTAACTATTTTGAACAGTGGTGTTATTCGGGCAACGTTCAGGCCTCCAGGAGAGCCTGTTGCAGGCCCACCTGATTCACATGGAGGACCCCAAAGAAATCAGTTTTACTAAAAAAATGCACCTGTGACTGTCCACCAACCTGGTGTGGGCAAGCAGGGGTCCTGGTTGGAACCCAGTGCTTCAGCAAAGAGGGTGACCCCAGGTTGGGAGGCCGCAGAAGGCAGGGCTAAGGAGGAAGCCTGGCCCCTGGGGACTCCTCCACTCACTCCCCAGACCCTGCTGGGTCCCCAGGGGCTCTCTGCCTATAGTACAGTCTTACTCTTGGGACAGGAGGATTAGGTGCAGAGCCATGGAAGGGTTCATCCAGTGGTTCCAGTGGATCTAAATCTGCAGCATGTGAACAGACCAGGCCCCGTGCAATCTGGGGCCAGGAGTGGAAAGCTGCGGTGCTCAGGCTGCGGGTACACCGAGCGTTGCTTGAGAGGTGCAGATCTCTAGTGACCGAGGGTGAGGCCTCAGGACAGTCTGGGCAACAGGTGGGTGAGGGAAAGAGGGACGCGGCGGCGGGCCGGCCCGGGGCCGCAGGTTTACGGAGGAGGGTGGTGCCCCAGGTGGCCTCGGGCTTCACGCCTGGCTCTCTCTCTCTGAGTCCCCGTGGGTGGGGACAGACATTTGGACGCTACTTAAGCCGCAGCCTAGTTTCTCCAGCGTGCGCCTAGGGGCGAGTCCACCTGGGAGGGGAAAGTTCGGGCAGGGGGGCGTGCCCTTCCGGCAGGCCTGGGGGCGTGTCCATCCCGGAGGGGGCGTGGCCGCGGGGCTTGCCTGTCCCAGACTGGGGGCGTGGCTGCGGGACGTGCCTATCCCAGGCTAGGGGCATGGCAGAGGCCGTCTTGACCGGCCGGGAGTCGTGAGGGGTCGTCTGGGGGCGTATCCGCTAGGCCTGCCGGGCGTGGCGTCCGGGGTCGGGGGCGTGTCCGCCAGGCACCGGCCTGGGAGGAAGCGCGAGGCGGCTGTGGGTAGCGGCCTGGAGGCGTCTGGGCAGGGTGGTTCGGACGCTGTGCGGGAGGATCATGGCGCCCCGAGCTGTGCGCGGCGCGCTCCTGCTCTGGGCCCTGGCGCTGTGCTGCCTGAGCGGCGCGGGCCGGCCGTGGAGGTGAGCGGGCTGGGAGGAAAGCGGCCCGGTGCGTGCGGGACTTTGGGGAGGCCTGGGGACGCCGGCCTCCTCTCCCCGGCGCTACGGGGGTCCAGCGCGCGCCCGTTGCCCCAGCTCAGGGGCGCGGCCCTTCAGGAGAAGAGGGCTCGCGGGGTGTCGTGGGTGATTCCGATGTTAAGTGCGGGAGAGAACAACATTTGAACACCAAGATTTTTAATCTTTTTCTTTTGCGATTGTGTAACGATCAAGTTAATAGAAGCGTCCCATACTTGCACAGTAGGTGTGGAAAAGGTGGGTTTTACTTTTTAATTAAGCACTGTTGCTGTTTTACTGTATATATGGTATTTCAGTTGTTTCCAGAAACGTGTTTTCTGAACAAGAGCTGTATTAGGTTATCTTTGTATTTGCCCAAGGTCAGAGCCTGAGAGGCAGTGTGGGGTGCTGGGTACTTGCGAGCTCTCATTTCTCTCTTGGTGTGTGGCCGTGGGGCTCCCACAGGACTGGTACGGGGAGAGGGCAGTTGAGTGCCCAGAGTATTTGAAACAGTGCCTGGCAGAGTGACAGTGAACGTTAGCGGAAGGCCTTCGGCTGCAGTATGCCCTTCCCAGGCCCCTTGGAATGCGTACAGCTCCTGTGGTTGTCATTGCTTGGGAGAGTACTCAGTAAGTGCTGCATTTATACAGTACTTTCTGCTTTGAACTCTGTATGTTTCACTTTGTAAGTACAGATACCTTGTAGTAGTCTATTCTTTGTTAGTATAATAAAGTACCTGAGGCAGAGTACTTAAAAAGACAAGTGCTTTATCTCACAGTTTTGGAGCGTCAAGGGCATAGCCTTGGCGTTGGCTCAGTCCAAGTGAAGACCTCCTAGGGAGCTTTCAGGAGAAACATCACAAGATCACATAACCAGACAGGAAGGAAGCCAGAGAGACGTGTGAGACTAGCTCAGACTTTTGTAACAACTCTTCCCGGGAGAACTAATCAGCATCCGAGGGGAAATATTTTAAATCTTTGCAAGGGCAATCCTCAGTTAACCTGGAGTCCTCCCACTAGGACCCACTTCTTAAATATCCCAGTATGGCCACCCTGGGGGTGCAGCTGTTACTGAGCTGGGTCTGGGTCTGAGGGTCCCGAGGCTGAAGTAAGGAACTCAATGCACCCTTTCAAAATAAGTGTGTAGGTTCGCCAACTCCTGCCGTGGACAAAGAATTTTCAGGTCAGTAAAAAGGCATGAGAAGAGTGTATTAGAGGTAGATACAGGATGCAGTGAAGAGTGGAGTGAGGCTGCTCTGAGAAATAAGGCACAGTACAGTTGGGAACTGGGCGTCTTTTCTGTGTTGGGATGGTGAGAGTCTGGAATTCTATGAAATAATCTACAGTCTTAGTCTTCTCTAGTCGGTGGAAGAGGAAGGCCCATCCATAGTGAGATAATGGCCCTTTCATATGGGAGATCCGAAGGGGAGGTCTATTCATAGGAGAAAGAGGACCCTTTGAAGGTCAAAAGGGAAGGGACAAATCCAGTTGTAAGTGAAAGGTTGTCTTCTGGGTTTACTATGTTTTGGGAGAAGAAAAGACAAGGAAAAAATAAATTAGGCTTGTGTTCTGAAGGTGCAATTTTTTCTTTAAAGTACTATACAGTTTTTTAAGTCTCGATTTTCTTGTCTCTTTTCCACCTAGTTTTTATTTCTTCTAGCCTACCTCAAAGCCTGTGAACCTTTAAAAAGGGACAGACCACATCCAAACCGTATCAGGCCTCCTGCCTGCAGTTCTGGTTGTGGATAAACGACAACTCCACAGTCCTTTTGATGTTGGAGAAATGAAGTTCTCAACCTGGTAGATGTCAGATGTGCTGAGTTTGTGTCCCTGAAATCGAAGAATAAATTCCAAGGGACAACCGAGCTTAAGAGTAGGAAAGGTTTACTGAGAGATGATAGCTCCAAGAGACAGGAGGGGTACCGAGTGGGTTGCCCCTGAGGCCCTCTGTCAGGGGCAATTTATACAGCAAAGTCACAATGTGGTACAGCAGGGGTCAAACTATAATCAACCTATAGGATTACAAGTATAGCTGATCAGTTAATACTGATCCAGTAGGGAAGAGAGTCACATAGCAAGAGTACATGAAAAGAACAATGGCTTTTTGGGGAAGAAATGGGTCTGGATGCTCTGATCACCCATCTGGACCACTGATGCCAGTCTGGACTTCCTGGACCAAGTGGTGCTAATTAGAATACAATTCCAAGTTACTGCTTATCTCTTAGGGAGGCATGCAGACCTAGCCATTGCATTTTTATCTTGAGGCCTGGTCTTCAGATGCGCTTCTAGCCACAATTCTGATGTCTTTTCTTTTCACTGACTTCCTTGAAAGCCCTGTCCCTCTCTGTATATTAATTTCTTTCTAACTTAGCTACCTGTACTACCTTTGTCAATGGACAGGGTCTGAGGCCGTTCCTGAAGCAGAGATGGGGAACTGTGACTCACCTGACTCATGGAGCAGGTTTCTCATTCCCTGACTTCCATCACAGAAAAAGAGTTTTCAGAACATATCAGTAAGAGGATAAAGAGGTTTACTAGGCAAAATTTTTAAAGCACACATTCAAAGAAATAGAGTACGGGCCCTTAAGAAGGACAGAGAGGCAGGGTATAGTGTGGAGGTGAGGGTATTTGTATGTTTGGGGTAGTGGAAATATGTGGAATTTGTGAATTGATAGAAGGTTTTGGCTTTGTTTACAGGAAAAAGCCAATGGTTCACACACAGGTAGAAAGACAATTTTACAGATCAAAGGATGGCCCATTTTACAGGGGAAAGGCAGGGCCCAGTTTATTGTTTTTTGTTTGTTTTTTTGAGACAGGTTCTTGCTATGCAGTTCAGATTTGCCTTTACCTTGTTATGTAGCCCAAACTGGCCTTGAACTCATGGTGATCCTTCTCTTTCACCCTTTTAAGTGCTGGGATTATAGGCCTGTGTGTGTGTGTGTGTGTGTGTGTGTGTGTGTGTGTTTTGTTTTATGTGTAGTTGATCCAAAGTGTTTTGCGTAAAAACATTCTTTGAAATCTCTGAGTCTATATCTCAAGGCCAGCTTTCTGCCTTTTATACTCTACCCTATGGATTTAAAATGTCTTTAAGGGTTTTTGGATGTGCTAGGCAGGAAAGGAAAGAAGTATAAACAAGCCTCAAAAGTTCAGATATGGATAATCTTGGGTAACTTTATCCCGAAGTTGCTGTCTTCTTAAAAGTACAGTTTTAAAATTGTTATTTTCCTTGTCTCCTTCCTACCTATCTTTTATTTTTTCTCTCCTGTCTGGCCTTTGATGAAATGTTAAAGTCAGGTGAGTTTTACAGTTTTCAGATTTGTTATATAGGCAATTAAGGGTGCATACTGTGTTCTAGATAACATGTGTGATATGATGTGGTTCATGTACTGTGTTCCAGGAAGCGCACGACACTGTGTGGTGTATGTATCATGCTCTGGATGATGTGTGAGGGGTGTGTACATAGGTCTAGCTCTAGATAACAGCCTTCCTTGGCCTCTTAAGTAACCCCTCTGATCACATATCGGTAGTTCTGCAGAGCAGTAAGTGAATCTGAGCTGAGTGAGGTAGTGAAAATAAAGTAGTTTTCTGTTAGCTCAGGTCATGTTTGGTTGTCACCTGAATTACAGAAAGATGTCCACTGTTCAGGACCTTATGGGTTCACAATTATAGCTAAAGGATTATGCTTCTGTATTTCTAAATTGCTTGAACATCCTTAGGAAAAAGATTCCCACTGAGCTACATCCCCATTCCTTTGTATTTTATCTTAGTTTTTATTTCAAGACAAGAGTATTTCTAAGTTGCTAAATTGTCCAGCCATGCAATCCTGCAGCCTCAGCCTCCCAGAGTGCTGGAATTACAGGTGTGCACCACCATTCCTAGCTAAGGAAGGCTTTTTATGGCCCAGTTGCTTCCTTTCACTGGAACCCTTGACTGCACTCTGACCTGCCTGACCTCTTACACTTGTCTTTATGCTCCTTGCCACTAAGATCATCATGTGTGCTTTCTTGTGTTTATTAACTTCTTTGGAATGCGTGGTAGAGGTAGGGACCTTATTTCCAGCAGCATCCCCAATCTCATGGATACTTAATGTTGAATGGATGGATGGATTTTTTTCTGAAACTTTAAAGAAGTTATTGAAAAATAAGCTTCTTGTCTTTTAACAGTGGCAGCCACGAGTGGAAAAAACTAATTTTGACCCAACTCTGGCCTCCAACACTGTGCAAGGTGAGTTTTTCTCCTTCAACGGGCCCGTTTGACGCGGAACCCCTGTAAAGAGTTGTTCACAGGCACATGTGCCTGCTTGGTTGCTGTTGGCTGACCAAGCCTCCAGCCTCCTTGCTGTGTCCCGTGTTGGAGGCTGGAGATATTCCAGGCAAGCTGCGTCTGCAAACAGGACACTTGTTGGAGGAGAGCCATGTTTCAGTTCCTTTTGGCAGCTGTAACAAAAGTCACAAGCACAATGACTTAGAGCATCAGTTCTTTCACAGCCATGGAGGGTGCCTGTCTGAAATCAAGGCATTAGTAGGATTAGCTCCTTCCAGTGGCTGCTGTTCCAGGCTTCTAGAACTTTGTCTGAATCTCATTTGTAACTGTGTCTCCATTATCACCTTAGCCTGCTCTGCGTTCTGTTTTCTAGCTGTGTCCTAGGATTATAGATGCATCACCTTCCTTGTGTCTGCCTGGTGTTTGTCTCTTCTTATGACAGCAATGATTGAATTTAGGGCCCTCCCCAATCTGGTAGGACCTCATCTTATCCTGATTACATCTGCAATAATCCTGTTTCCAAGTTAACAGATACAAAAGTTGAGACTGGATATATCACTTGGGGGTCAAAATTCAACTCACGACAAGATTGGATTTGCCTTCTCCCTTCATGTTATATTTGAACTCTGATTAAACATCTTCCACTCCTGGAAGGGATCTGAGAAACAATGCCTGCCTCCTCTTTTCTGTTTAACAGCAGCAAAAGCTTTCTCCCTCTGTGGCTCTGACTTGCTTTGTGTCTTTTGTCTTTTTAGGACAACAGTGCTGAGTCTCTTCCCATAGAAACCTGCCTAGCTCCCACTGCTGGGGCTTGTCCTTCTCATGGGCAGTCACAAAGCTGATCCTGGTGTCTTTTGCGAAGTTAGCTATAGTGTTTTATCATATTGCTGAACTAGCACTAATTTCATCGACAGTGTTTATGAAATTTTGCTGGAGAGTTTTAAATTTGGAGGCCTCTAAATTACGCAAGATGAATGTGGCCAATAGGTGCCAAATGGTTTGATCATTTCCTGCCAGGTTGGGAGCACTCTGGCTTTTCGTTTCACCTTCAGCATTGACTAGTGAGGTCATTCCTTCTTCCTCGCTGATTTACTTTTCTGTTGACAGATACAAGTGAAATTTTACTCCTTGTCCTCACCAAATTATACTTTTGGTCTGGAATCTCATTTGTAACTGTGTCTCCATTATTACATTAGACTGCTGTGGTTTCAGTTTTCTAAACTTCATAATATGTAAGTTTTTCTCTTCTAGTGCTGTTTTTTTTCTTTGGTGCAGGGGAGGAGTGGGATGGGAATGGAATGAAGGTGCAGGGAGTTGAGGTACTGCTGACCTTTGAAGGCTCCCTGTGTGCAGGAAGAGCTCAGGATCAGCTCAAAAGAGTTGCCTTCACTTCTGGTTTTTCTGAGGAGATGTGGTTGTGTCCTTAGACTGCATATGATATGAGGGAAGTGTCTTCCTGCCTTGAGGTTTTAGAAACAAGATTTAAAAAATGATTAGCAAAATGTTTCTGTTAGGCAATTTATTTCAAACAGGATGGCTGTGATAGGAAAGTGCTGGTATTCCAGGCCAGGTGTACTCCTGGCTGCGGGGAGCTGTCTCTGGGCCTCTGTCTCAGAGATAGATGTCTACAGTATAGGACCTGAACAGTCTGTCCTGGTCTCCACTGTGTCCTCACTCTCAAGCACTGTAGGAGCTGATGAGTGCTTGCTAGAAAATGGAAGAACCTGGCCCTTTGTTGGAACTACCTACTTATGACCCATGTTTGGTGTTGGTTTTGCTCTTCATTAGCTGTGGGCCGCAGGAAGTGAGGTTTCCTTAGGGATGGAGTTGGGAGTGCTGGCAGAGGTGGAAGTGTGTCAATTCTGCAGGCTGTTGTTGCCCAGCTGTTCTGTGGCAGGCAGCTGTCACTGGGTACTTCAGTCACTGAAACCAGGGTACTTCCTTGTCTCTAGACCAGCCTGCAAAGAAGCTACCTTCCCACCAAAGGTGACATACAGAGGAAAGGATTGGGCAAGACAGCATGTGATGCCTCATCTTCCCTCACAGGCTCAAACTTGGGTTTTTCATTTGCTTAGTCACTGTGATCTGTTTCACTTGGGCTGATGCATTGTTGTAAAATTTAAGTTTATTGGTACAGGTCAGGTGTACATAATGACCGCATTCATTATAGGGAATTTGTATCTGTACGTGATATGTCTTGATTCTTCTTTTTTTTTTTCATTCTCATCCCCTCTTTTCAAACCCCTTTTCCCTCCCCATTCACAAAGCTTGGTTTTCATTTTATCCTTCTTTTCTCATTTTTTTTCCTTCCTGCTTTCCCTCTCCCCTTCCCTATTTCCCTTTTCCTTTTGAACAATTTCTTCCTGCTTCACAATATCTATTGTATATTTATGTTCTCACTTACAGTTTCAATTTCTCACACCAGAGAGATAATGTGATATTTACACATGTGTGTCCAACTTATTTCACTTATGGTTATGGTCTCAAGGTCCATCCATTTTTCTATAAATATCTCAATTTTATCTTTCTTTATGGCTGACTAATTCTCCATTATATATATAAAAAAAAACACATCTTTTTTATCCATTCATTGGTTGATGGGCATTTGGGTTGCTTCCAAGATTTATCTATTACATACAGTGCCACTGTGAACATGGGTGTGCATATATTGCTGTGGTTTGATGCTTTTAATTTTTCTGGGAAGATACCCAGAAGGGAATAGCTGGGTCACATGGGACCTTTAATCTTAGTTTTTTGAGGAATATCCACATTGATTTCCACAGCCTACACGCCCATCAACAGTGGATAAGGATTCCTTTTTCTTCACTGCCCCTCTGCTTTTGCTATTGGTTTTCTTGATAATAGCTATTTTTTCTGGAATGAAATGGAATCTCAGCATTGCTTTAATTTGCATTTCTCGAATGATCAATAATACTGAACATTTTTTCATGTGTTTGTCATTTGTACTTCTCCTGAGAAATGTCTGTTTATCTCAGATGCCCATTTGTGGGTTGGGTCTTTGAATATGGAAGGTCTGGTTTTTTCAGTTGTTTATATTTTCTAGATATTAGTCCTTTGTTTGACAAATAGGTGGCATAAATTTTTCCCACACTGTGGGTTGTCTCTTCTTACAGCCAGGAGTACACCTCAGTGATTTCTTTCACTATGTAAAAGCTTTTTAATAAGATGGCATCCCAGTTGTTGATTCTTTGTGATAGGTCCTATGCAGTCAGGGTTTTGTTCATAGAGTCTTTCCCTACAACAATGTCTTCCAGAGTTCTACATAAACAAAAAGAGTTCTACATATTCTCTCCTCCAGCAGATTTAGTGTTTCTGTTTTAGTATTTAGCTCTTTCATCTATTTTGATTTTAGTTTAGTGCATGGTAATAGAGATGAGTCTAGTTTTAATCTTCAGCATGTAGAAAGCCAATTTTTCTAGCACCACTTAATAAAGAGGCTGCCCTTCCAATTAATGTGTTTGGCCCCTTTGCCAAAGATCAGGTGAATGAGTGCGTTTAACTTTTTTTTTTTGAGACGGGGTCTTACTATGTAGGTCAGGCTGGCCTTGAAGTCACTATGTAGCCTAGGCTGGCCTCGAACTTGCGGTGATCCTTCTTCAGCCTCTTGAGTGCTGGCATTATAGGCATGTGCCACCGTGCCTACCTCAAGTATATTTTTTGATTGCTTATTGCAGAAAAATTCCATCTTAGGTAAACCATTGTCGACCCTTAAGAGCGTTTTTTGTTATGCTGAGATTTTTATCTTAGGCTTTATCTTTATTATTGAGGCTAAGAATATACTCCTCAACTCATTGTATTTCTTGGCTTCAAGTTTTTGATACTTACTACTTCACTAATGTACTTGGACCTGGTACCTGGACCCACTTGAGTGTAAAGGGTATTATCAGCTTTTGTTCAGAACATTTATTTCTGATTACATGCTGAGTAGATTATTCAGGGGCAAATGTATTTCTATTAGGTTGTCCTAATTTGTGAGTACATGTAAAGAGCAAAAATAGCTGTTTTACTGTCATCTAAATTGTTTGAGGCCTGGCCTAGGACATGGAATCCCAATGCCTTTTCTTCCTGAGCCTGTTACTGGAAGGAAGGTATTTTATGGTAGTAACCTGGGCTTACCTTGGCTTCGTAAAGCCCCTGTGTCTCCTTGATGTATGTTGAAAGGAAGTAGGTTTGCTAAATGTTCTTAAATAACGAACCAATTATCTTCTCTGTGTCTTTTCTCCCTAGGAAGTTAATGACTGTGAAAAGTCTCCTGATTATTGGACAATACATGGACTATGGCAAGCATCTAATATAATAAAGTCTGATGAAATGAGAGAAGCTAGCTAACTTGAAATTCTAGCTTGAATCTAGACTTACTAATTATACTTGTTATTTTTGTTAGGAATTTATTCAATAGATCAGATCCTTATTTTAAAATAGTTCTAGTTTCCTAATATACCCCTGATTCTGTTGTTACTTCTGTTTTGGTAGACTAATAACAATCCACTTAAAATATATTTTTAGGGGCTAGGGATAGCTCAGTGGCACAAGCACCTGCCTGGCAAGCGCAAGGTCCTGAGTTCTATCCCTGGTACTACAAAACCAAAAAAAAAAAAGAATAAAATATATTTTTAGGGATTCTGGGAACATTTTAGGATCCCTAAATTTTATTTTTTTTATTTTGCTCTTTCTTTAGAATCCATTATACAACTAAACATGTTATATATGTATGCATATGTATGTAACAGAGAGGGAGAATGAGATCAAATCTATGTTATACATTTCACAGATACTTTATTCTTCTGGTTTTTGTCTGCATTATATTTAGTTTATTTATTTATACATATATTTGTGGTGTTAAATTATGCACATTAGTTTCCTGGAAGGAATCTATTTTGTTCTGGTTCTTATTGGTACCTGCTTGTCCCTTAGGAATGGGGCAATCTAAGAAATAGATTAAATGGGACTTGGCTTATAGTTCTACTTTCTGGGACTTTGTCTTTCTTGGATTTTGCTTGATTTCTCTGCTGTCTTCAGATGCCCTGAGTATATCTCTGCTCATGATGGCTGCTTTATTTGTAAGCTGGAGTGAAAGTCTGCAGGGCTTCTCTCCGCCCTAGGGGGGAAGTTGTGCAGCTTTCAGCTGCTGGGCCGCTTCATGATTGCAAAGCCACAGCATTTTGGCCTTCGTGGGGCTCTGAAGTATCTTGGAAAGTCAATGTAGGGACTTCATGAACTAAGCAGCATCTAGAGAATGAGAACTGATGTGTCCAAAATCAAACATGAGAGGAAAGAAAATTCAAATCAGAGTGTGTGAATTTGGTACTAAAAAATAAAAACAGAGTTGTACTAACTGATATTGTCATGGGCCAGGCACTTCCGAACATGTTACTTGTATGTTATCTCATTGCATTACATTTTAAAGAGGTGCAAGCGCTTTTCATTTCATGCTGCATTTTGGAATGGCCATGGCCCAAGTCAGATAGATAGCTTAGCATCACTGTGCCGGGAAACAGCCCATGGTGGGCCAACTCCAAAATCCCCCTATTATGCTTCCTCTGTTAAAAAGCCAGCCTATATGGATTATTCCTGCACTTTTTAACTGTTCATGGAGCCATAATCTGTGTCTCGCGGCCAGGTGGCCTGTACTACCGGTGGTACATGCCTGCCTGTCTCACTCGTGACCGTAGTACTACTACTGCCAGTGGCACAAGTGGCCCGATTGGACAGTCGTGCTTGTACCACTGGTGGCTCAAGCCAGCAGGAATGTGTTAAACTCCATCTTTCCTCTTCCAAAGAAACTAAAACCACGGCTACTTGTTTCTAAGCATCTTTGTTACAAAAGCTTACAGGAGATATTCTTAATTAGAATTTTTCTTTTCGTACTTTAATGAAAGTGTATTCTAATGTCGTATAGAAGCCATCCCAACCAAGACTAATATTTCTCTCTTTTTTTTTTATTTGGATCTCAAGGCCTGACAAAGTGGAAGATTGTAATTCATCGTGGCACTTTCATTTAGATGAGATTAAGGTATTCATTTAACTATCTTTCTACTGCAGTAGAGCATTGAACCTACATTAACTCTCTTTAAAAGTATACCTTCAGAGTCATTAGGATTGAGCCACAGGCAATGCTTTAGTAATTATTAATATCCAAAGCAGTCCCATGAGTTAGATAAAAACTGACTTTTCTCCTGGACCCAATCCACAGCATAGGTGAGCTGTGGGAAGAGAGCATAGAAAGGAGCAAAGACCCTGATACTCTGCCAGCCTCAGGTGGTCTCTAGTCCCCAGGGCTCCTGGGTCAGTGACGGAAAGTGGGTATCTGGAGAGGTGTCTCTGGGCAGCTGTGCTGGAGAATGGGCACACACAGTACTGAGGGCTGACCTTTCCAGCTGTATGTGGGTTGAGTCCTCCATAGGGGATTTGCGCTGGGAGAAAATGATGGGCCCTTCCAATACAAAAGCTCCTTTTAAAGAATGAGCCATAGGAATGCAGTCAGAGATATTAACAGAAGTACTCTTTGAGATACTTCTAAGTCATGTGGAACATAGCGCTCTACCATGCTCATCGTTCCTTAGGGGCTGTGATGGTCCTTGTGTGTTCAGTCATCTGTCAGGGTGGGGAAGGACCGACCATGTACTCAAGGAATAGACAGCCTGGGTGAACCCCAGCAGTTAAAAACAGGACAGAAAAGGAGCCTATGAAAATGGAAATCAGAAGGAGGGGTGGCTGGGGAAAGGGGGTGCGGTTGATGAAGAAGTGTCAATAAAAGGAAGATCCCTGAAAGGAAGGTCAGAATAACTTAGATCAAAGGTTCTTCCAGGTCTTCCATGCTACTGCTCCTTCAGAACAGTCCTGGTTTACTTGTGTAGCATCATATTCAACTTAGCATTTGTCCCAAACAAAAGTGGCCTGGTTTGGAAGATAAATTGCATCATCACCCTTTCATTCCCAGAGGGCTGATGGGACCCAGATTGAGGGGTAGCAGTGAGGAAGATAGAGGAAGTGAGACTTGGGGTGCTCCTGAGGGAATGAGGAGGGAAAGGAGGTGGTTAGCAGAGGTTGTGAGGAGGGGTCATCTTAATGAGAGTGGTGGGAGGCATGGGAAAGTGTGGCTATCCTAAGTTTATATATGTTTTTATGGAAATTTTTTTTGGTTTTAATCTAATACCAGTAGGGGTTTTTTTTTTTGTCTTTTTGAGACAGGGTCTCACTGGGCAGTTCATACTAGCCTTGAGCTCACTTTGTAGCCCACACTGGTCTTGAACTTGCAGTGATACTCCTGAGCGCTGGGATTACAGCTGTGCACCCCCACACCCGGCTCACCAGTAGGTAGATAGAGTGAAAAATGAACTCAAGTGGGGTTTAGGCTAACCATCTGCATAGCATAGGAAGGCCTAGCTCAGACAAGCTCTTCTCTGAAAATATGAGCTTGTATTTGTTTTGACAGACACTATTTTTAGAGCAATTGTAAGTTTACAGAAAAATCAGATGGAAAGTATAGATTGCAGTTTCCTATATTAACATCCTCCAATAGCGGAATCATTTCTAGGTGAAAGACCATGCACACTTACCAACCTCAGAAGATAGGCTCTACTGTCTGTTTCCCATATTAACAATTTTTTCTTTCTTTTTGTTTTAAAGAGTATAAAAAATAATTTAAAAAACATTAGAAACAATATGGAATCTCAAATACAAAACAAGATGATAGGAATTCAATGGTGGTTATATTGCATATTGTTGTCTTCAAAATAGTTGTTCAGATTACCAGATATAAGCATGTAAAACTGGTCAAAGTAAAAAATTAGGCATTAACTGTTCCTTTCAATAAACCCATAGAAATTAGTAATACAGTTATCTTAGCTATCTTGTGTGTGTGTATAATATTTATATGAACAATTAATGCAGTTTCCCCTATTAACATCCTCTACCACTAGTGTTATGTTAGTCACAACTCAGAAACCAGTACTGATCCCTCCTCCTCCTCCCCTTTCTTCTTCCTATTTGTCTAACTTTTCTCCTCTTGCTGAGACAAAATACCTAACACCCAAAGTTAAAGAGAAAAGGCTTATTTAGCTCACAGTTTGTAGAGGTTCAGTCCATAATAAGCTGGCTCCAAGGCAGTGCAGCACATGGCACAAGGGCAGTGGGTCATGGCGGCAGAAGACAGCAAAAGCAACAAGGGCAAAAGGGGAAACAAGCCTCTTTCTGCCCCTTTTATCTTATCCAGGCTGCTGGGATTAGGGCAGTATCAATTGAGTTAGCGTACTGATAACAGCAGTCATCCAGCCTTCATCCCAGCACCCTGATCCCAGCATTATACTATTCAAACACACACTAGGTTCAGCTGCCTCTGAAAAGTCTACCCACACATGACCGCATGGGGCTTTGGGGGACATCCAGACACAAACCATAACACTATTAATATTATTATTGTTTTTATTTTGAGACAGGGTCTCACTATGTAATTTAGGCTGGTCTTAAACTCACTGTGTAACCCAGGCTGGCCTTAAACTCACAGTGACTCTGCTGACTCAGGGTCCTCCTGAATGTCACTTGGCTTCTGATACCTTAACTACACTGCATCGTTTGCATTAGGGTTTGCCGTTTGTGTTCTGTGGTTTTACAGGTTTTGGTGAAGCTAGAAGACAACTGTCCCCCATGGCAGTGTGTTGCGGTGCAGTCTCACCTGCCCCAGCCTCCTTTATTCTTTTCTAAACTGAACCCCTGGCAACTGCTGATTTTATGTTGTCTCTTAAGATTTTGCCTTTTCTGGAATGTCATATAGTTGGAGTGATACAGTATTTAGCCTTTCAGGCTGTCTTGTTTCACTTATCAGTATATGTTTTAAGTTTCCTTCATGGCGTTCATGGCTTTGTAACTCATTTCTTTAGTGCGGAATAACATTTCATTGTATGTATCATGGTTTGTTCAGCCATTCGCCTGTGAGAGCTTGTGTTTTCCACACACTGTTATGATTACTCAAATGTCACTTTTACGTGTGTCTTAAGATAAACTTTGTATGGAATACAGAATCCTTTTACTCACTTAAATGCTATTCATAGGCAGGGCTCAAATTTTTAAATATATTACCAGATTTACTCCTAAGTTTTGAGTATGTTATGTCTTACATAGATTTTTTTTTCTTAAATTATGCATAGGACCTTTTCCAGGACATGAATCTGTTCTGGCCTGACATAAAGCACCCACTGAATGGCAGCAGGTTCTGGTAAGTGCAGGTTTCTCACAGTCACCATGCACCTTGGGACCTATGTGTGGGAGCAGCATAAATACATTCGAAATGGAAGTTTGTAAGAGGCACAGAAAACACACAGTCAAGCCTATCTTCTGCAGCTGGTAAGTGTGCATGTTCTTTTATGTAGAAATGATTCTCTTATGTCATGGTTAGAGCCTTTCTCCAATGGGTAAACTGAGAGCAAGCCAAATTTACCTTATAACTTGTTTGCTAGTCTGTGTGCGATTGTCATGATTTATATCTAGAGGTCTCCCCAAAGCCTCATGTGCTTAAAGATGGGGCTTTTAGAAGGTGATTGGGTTACGGGGGTTCATAGCTGGCTTGCTATTTGGAGGTGGGGTCTGGTCAGAAGAGGCAGGTCACTAGGGGGTGTGGCCCAGAAAGGTTCATTCCCCCTCCAGGTCTCCTTCACTCTGCTTCTTCCTGTCCTGTCTCCGTGCCCTTGCTGTCCTGCCATGGAGCCACCAACTGTGGACTAAAATATGAGCCACAGTAAACTTCTCATTTAAATTGCGGGGCTCAGCTATTGTGTCTCAGTGACAAGGAAAGTAACTAGGCTACTTCACTCATGATTTCATTTTTAATAATTTCTCTATTGAAGTTTACCTAAATCAAATATTTCCATATCTAAAAATTAGTAGAAATCAGACAGGAAAGATAAGTCTTAAAGAAATTGTGTTGCTGCCTTGAAATATGTTAAAAAGAAGAACTTGGAGATGGTAGCACACGCCTATAATCCCAGCACTCTGAGAGGTTGACGCAGGATTGCTGGCTGGAGCCCAGCCTGGTCCATTTAGCAACTTTGTGAGACCAACTCTGTCTCAGAAAATGAAGAACAAAGAAAACGGCTCAGTGTAAAGGCTCTGAGTTCAATCCTCAATACCACCAAAACAAGAAAAGAAAGAGGGAGAAAAGACAAGAGAAAAGAAAGGAAAGGAAAAAGGGAAGGGAAGAGGACATACCTCCTGACTGAGGAGGACAGGAGATAAGATTCTTACCTGAGGCAGAGTCCTTGGTCTAATAAAGCAAAACACTTGTGAGGTTTGCAGGCTCTGGGCCTAAGGAAAAGGCTGTGTGTTTAATTCAGGATAGTTTGTAAAACTGTTGTTTATTAAGAAGATAAAATTAATACTAATGTTATATCAACTGAAGGTAGTTCTCTTTTTCATATGTCTTCCTCTAACATGACAATTTAAGATAATAACTCAGCAAATTTTCCCAGAAGATTAATGTGGACATTTTTGTATAGAGTTTTCAGTTAAAAAAGAAAGCTTGAGTTGAGAGAGATGCTTTAAAAAAGGCTGGTTCTTTGGCACTCAGTTTGACATTTCACCCAAGGGTGTGTGGTGTCAGGATTCACTGACTGAAATCTGTAGGTTGAAATCACCCTTCAAAAAAGAGAACCACTCTTAGTGAAAATTACAACAAATACAGCTCAGGTGTTGCACTTGTTCTGCACACTCTGTGCTCTGGAAAATGGCTTCAGAGTAGATAATAGCCATAATGAGTGAAGTGAGGGAAACAGGGAAAAGCACTTATGTAACTTTGCAGTTTACTTCAAATGATGACTCTCTGGAATCTGTGTCTGTCAGCTTTACTATAACAAATACCTGAGAAAACCAACTTAAGAAGAGGAAAGATTTTATTTTGGCTCACAGCTTCAGAGGTTGGTCCCGTTGCTGTGGGCCTTTGGTGGCTTTGTATGTCATGGTGGGAGCCTGTGACAGAAGAAGCAAAAATGGCAAATAGGAAGAGGGCAGGATTTCATCCCTTTAAGAGTTCAAACTGGGCATGGTGGCACATGCCTGTAATCCCAGCATTTGGAAGGCTGAGGCAGGATTGTTGCAAATTTGAGGTCAGCCTGGGCTACATAATTCAGGGCCCGCCTGAATTACAGACCAAAACCCTGTCTCAAGAAAAACCAAACAAAAAAATTAGCAGAGGCTCCTGTGTGGAATAGGCCAGCGCCTTTCTAGCCGTCTTGCCTTTTCTGGCCTCCTTATGGAGAAGGGAGGTTTGTGCTGCTCTCTCAAATCCCTTGCTGTCAAGCACCAGCTCTGCAGGAGATCTGTACTGTTGGATGGCTTGGTGGGTGTCTGAACAATGGCATTTTTTTCCTGAGCTTTGGTTTGCTGTTAACTGAACGAGCAGTGATTGTAGAGGTGAACTGGAGCTAGTGAGTGGTGGAAAGCAGGAGAAGATGGGGAGTGGTCTTTGGGACGGTCATGGGCACTGGAGCACTGTTCAAGCTCAGGGCAGCTACTGTGCTGTGCATGTTGCACATGGGCAGCGTCCTCCCCATTTGGCAGTGCAGTGGTGTGCGAGGAAAACATTCCGAATATTGTCTTCCTGTGAACCTGCAGGAAGCATGAATGGGAGAAGCACGGCACCTGTGCTGCCCAGGTGGATGCCCTCGACTCTGAGAAGAAATACTTTGGGAAGAGCCTGGTGCTGTACAAGCAGATTGACCTCACCAGGTGAGTGCATTCAACCCAGAGACCCTGAGGCCTGGGGCGCCAATGGCCAAGCACGAGCAGAGACTGCTAATCATTGGCAGCCCTGCCACACGTGTGCTGGCACCTGGAAGGAGGGTGAGGGGTCGTGCCTGAGAAATGCTCCAGGCTTTCACACAGTGAGCTGGCTCCGTAGAGAATGAGGACCAACAGGGCAGCCATATCAGTCATTGTTCCTGACAGGCACTGTGCCAACGTGATAGTCCCCCTGAGTTCCTGAGCACCAGGGATCCGTGCCTCCTGCTGTGGTTGTGGTGCCCTGGAACAGGCGGAAAATGGTAGGCGAGGGTCCTTTCAGCCCTAGAGATGACCCAGTGCACGTGGATGTGCCACTGCCTGCACTCTCCTCAGCTCCAGAACTGGGAATGCATTGCTACCATACAACAGCCAATGCATATGTGAGGACCACAAGCCCTACCAGGGCCATAGCCTACTACCCTCCTCACCAGAGTCTGTCATGAAGGAGTAGAGGGCTGTCATTTCCCTGCCCATCTGGACAATTCTGTTGTGTCGTGTGTTAATTCTTCATATGGTGCTTCATTATAAGTGACCATATTAAGCAAGTGCTAGTTTTAAAAAATATGACAAAACAGTGAGGAGGGTTTTGGTGCTAGAGGTTGGCTGTGGTGGGCCGAATGAATGCCTGTATCCCCCTGGAGTTTGGTGGGTGGACCTTCACCCCCAAGGTATGAGGAGTGTGAGTGCCCTTTTTAAAAGCCCAGGAGCTGTCTATCCTCTTCCCCCAGAGGGACACAGAGAGACACTTGCTGTCTGTGAAAAACGTTTGAGCTGTCACCAGATGCCAGATCTGCTAGAGCTGATCTTACACTTTGTGAGAAATAAATGTCTGTTGATTATTTTGAAAAGGAAAAATGGCAGATTATACAATGTCTGCAACGCTGGCTGTAATCTATGCGGTTTCTTTAGTCAGAATGGTTCTGCTTCAGATGAGCATCGTCCCAGGAGCCTTTGCTCATCAGCCATACTTCAAGTGTAGGAATCAAATTTGCTTCAAGGTGAATAAACCTTTATGGTTCTCTAGACACGTGTTCTACCTCCTTACACAGAAAAGCATCTGCAAGTGATGTGTCACCGTCTCACACAGATGGTTTCCTGTGTCATTTGTTCAAGCAGCTGGGATTTGAATTGACAGATCAGGCATTGAAACAGGAGTGGTCGAATGCCTTTGGGCACTTACATAATCTCTTTAGATCTTATTTCCATAATGTAAAATGAATAAATGGGTCAAACTCGTTCCTAAAGTTCTCAGCCCTTAAAATCTGCATTATTAAATATATATACTAGGAATTATAGAACCAGTAATGCGTGGTAACTCCTGTGTGTGTTGACTAGAGTAAGTATTGTATGTGTTCTTTAATTGTAGGGTTTTTTTTTTTCACAAGAGGAAGTAGTGTTCTCTTGCAGTAAGAACAAGACCTTTCACTTCCTCACCCACAAAATGTCAATAATGAGCACTTCAGCAACCATTGTGAGAATTAACTTAGAGACTATGCTTCTGGAATGCAGAAGCACTACAGTTAGAATGAAGCTTATTCCTGAAAAATGGATATAGTAGGGCCTACTTAGCCCTCCAAAGACAGAGCAGTGCCTCTGTTTCTAATGTGGATCCCATTCTTGTCCACCATGCCCTGCTGTGGTATGCACGTTGAGGTTAACCGTGCAACAGGTTTCGTTTAACAGGCAGGAAAAGGAGAATAAATAGACCTGGCTAAGAAAACAATTTTTAAATGGTAACGTTGTTATATTTATTACTGATAGGAAAATAAATAGGCTCTGCAGAGCAAATTTGGGCCAAGTCGGAAAGAAATATACGGTGTAAGGGTGGACCACCATCCAAGAGAGAACACAGTGGTGCTGTCTAAAAGCTTTTATGTAAGCTGCCTAAGTAGTTAAGGACAGTAGGTCCTGTTCGCAGAATGTGAAACCCAGCAGCTTTTTGCATAGCCCTGCAACTCCGGGGAATAGCAAGGCCAGCCCCTGCAGGCCCCGTTTGGTACTGGCTGAGGCTTGCTGAGCAAACAGCCTGCTAATGCATAGAATACAGGTGTTCTACAAAAATTACTCTTTACCACTTTCTCCAAGGAAAATCTGAAATTCTTAGCACTCATAAAGTTAAAATTAAGGAGTCAAAGCTTAAGATAAAGCCCCTTTACTTTTCTTTGTAAACCATTATAACAAATTATCTTTTTCTCATATGAAAGCAGCAATCCTGAGAAACCTTAACTGCAGAGTGCCTTGTGGGGAGGTTCAACTAGGACTCTCAGATGAAGACCTGAGTTAAGCCAGAGTAATTGTAACTCAGAAGAAGACGTGATAAGCTATGTTCTAGGCTAGCTGCTAGGTTTCTCTGCCTCTTTCTGTCTTTGCTACCTGCATCAGGAGGGCACTGTCCAATAGAAACAGAACATAAGCCACAGATATCTGGGCTTAGTAACATAATAAAAATAAACAGGTAGCCAGGTGTGGTGGCGCACGCCTGTAATCCCAGCACTTGGGAGGCTGAGGCAGGAGGATCGTTGCAAGTTCGAGGCCAACCTAGGCGACAAAGTGAGCTCAAGGCCAGCCTGAACTGCATAGTAAGACCCTGTCTCAAAAATGACAAAAACAAAAAATAAACAGGTAAAATTAATTTTAATAATATCTCTAACCCCGTTTACCTAAGATATTACCATTGTAACTCTTAATACATTTTTTAAAGATAGAGGTGTTTTACCTTTCGGTACAGAGCCTTTGGAGTTTGACATTGCGGCACTGACAGCACAAGTGCGGGCAGCATAGTCACGTGGAGGAGGGGGCACTGCTAGAGGTGCAAGGAGCCTTGCCAACCACCGCTTTCCTGTTTGTCCCAGGAGCTGCAGCAGGCTAATGACAACTCAGGACCCAGAGAGGCAGCTATGTCTTTCATCTACCCTTTGTGGCCATAATAAAGAATGATTAGGGGCTGGGGATACAGCTCAAGCGCCTGCCTGACAAGCGCGAGGTCCTGAGTTTGATTCCCGGTACCACTAAAAAAAAGAATGATCAGAAGGGTTTATGGGGACCACAGAGAATTCTGCAATGCTCAGTCTAAGAATTTTTACATCGTACCCCATAATTTAATGTTGTCTAGTGCTCTGGTAGAATTCTCTACAGCAGTGCTTTAGGACATTTTTCAGGGTTGTTAGCATTTAACAGACTTAAAGATTGGCCAAATGCAGTGTCCTAGGATACACTGAGAAACCAAATTGCTGTCATTTAGAACAGATGTTGCCAGTAGGTGGTGTTGTGTGTGCCTCCTGAGATGAGGTGGTGTCCAGTCCTGGGGAGCGCGGGCCCTGGGATGGGGTGCCTGGACAGCGTGTGTGAGGCAAGGAAGTCGGAGTGGCAGCTGCTTTTCTGCTCCTGTGGTTGGCAGATTTGTTGTTTGAGTCGTGGGAAAACATGCTCCTATAAAAATGTCTAAATTTTTACCATGAAAGAGGATATTTCAGAAGAATAAGAAAGGAAAATGGATCTTTATTATACGACTTTTTTTTTAATTTCAGAATGCTCCAAAAATTTAAGATTGAACCATCTATCAATTACTATCATGTAAGTCTTGCCTTCTTGCATCCTGTGAGCCACTGTCAAGTTTTAAAGCGACTCCACTGTCTTGGTTACTTTCTCATTACTGGGACAAACATACCTAAAACCCACAAGTTAAAGGAGAAAAGGTTCATTTTGGCTCACAATTCATAAAGGTTTCAGTCCATAGTGCTGGCCCCGAGGAGGGTAGCCTGGCAGAGGGACACGGAAGAGGAGAAAGAATTTAGCGCATGCAGGCAGGAAACAGTGAGCCTTCATCTTTCCCTGTTTATTCATCACCCACACCCAGAACTATGCTCAGCCAATCAGCGGACTAATCAGTATCACACCTATGATCTAATGACTTCCAAAAGCCCTACCTGTGAATGTGTGAGGCTTTGAGGGGGACTTCAAGATACAATGCATGACACTGACAAAATGCCCTTCTAACTTGTGTGCTTTTGATTTTACATGAATTTTGTTTCCATCTGCATACTGATTACAAGTTGAAGGCTACTTGGACCAGTGACTTGGAAGCACAGATTCATGACCCTTGCTGGGTAGTGTCTATGCTGTAGGTTCTGAGGAGTGGGTGGGTGGGATATGAGTTTGAAAAATATATTCAGCTTCATAATATGTTCTATCTGAGGAAATTCACTTAGGATTTTTTTTCTGTGGTAAGCTAGATCATATAGAAATTTAAGTATGAGCAGATCCTATTGGCTGGGAAAGATATAGAAAATGTTATCTGGATTATCTGATTTGCTAACAAAATTCTCTTGGATCTCAGACTATACCATACTCACTGTATGTGTTGCCCTGGTTGCTAGTGCATACTCCATGGCAGGGCACAGTGGTTCCAGATATGACTCAGTTGAGCAAAGACAGGCATATCACCCACAAAGCCCAATTATGCTATCTGCACCTTTATGGAAGGGGCGAACTCTAGTTTTAGAGAAATGTATCAGATTCTTTGAGATGGTTTTGTATTGATCTCAGAGTAAGGATTTAAAGAAAGGTTGAAAGTAACTGATTTTAGCAGTTCTGTGGTTCTGGATATTGAAGAGTTATTGTGGCCTTGGCAGTTTGTGCAGTAAGTGGTGCCTTTGTCTTGCCTTCAGTGGTGTCTGCTAGACTGTAGTCACTTTCCCAGTCGCTGTCTGTTCCTCTCTCTGTGGAGCGTAGGGTATGAGGGACTGGTGACTTGAAGGACAGGCCACCAGCTGTGCCTTGAAGACCCTTCCATGCAGGGAGGGATGAACATTTGCAAGGCCTCTGGTCCTGGTCTGAACTGTGTGATGGGAATGAGGGGGATGGGCCCTATATTTTTGCCCAGAACGTGGTATTCAGAGATATTAGGGGCGAGCAGTGACAGCCATTGTTGAGCTCTCTGCCAAGTGTCAGAGTGCAGGTGGGGGCTCAGGCAGAGGTCCCAGCCCGTCACAGTGAGCCTGACTTTCCTCAGGTTTCCTGCTTGGCATCCAGCACCCAGGTACTTTCCACACATCTGCTTTACTGGAAGAAGAGTTGTGTTGCAGGGACTCACAGAGAGCTGTCTGGGCAGAATTTTCTGGGAGGTGGAGCCTCCTGGAGGCTTGGGCCCTGGGGAAGAATATCTTCAGGCAGTGCCTGAAGATAGGAATGGACATCTTTTCAAGGACCAGGAGCAGAGTGGGGTGCTATGAGAGATGTCAGCCAATCTCATTATGACATGAGGACATCATCACACAGCAGCGCCAGTGCTGGGGGTCCAGAGCAGAACTATGTCTCCAGTTGTCGGGTGCTGGAGTGGTAGTGGAGGAGTGGAGGAAAGGACTATTCTTCAGGGAGCTGTGGGGCAGACCACATGGAGAAGCTAGACCTGGCGGTGGAGGACAAGGCCCAGGCCTCCATGGGACTCAGCCAAAGGACTAGGGCAATTGGGTCTACCTAGGTAGGGGTGGGGCTAGGGAGGGTGGAGAGGAGGGCTGTATGGAGGGCAGCCCAATGTCAGGGTGGGCTGAGGGGCATAGGAAGGTACTCACTGCAGAAACCCAAGCATACAGGTTGAGAGGTGCCCTTGTCCTCGGATTTGACTCTGAAGAGAAAGGAGAGCACACAGGGGAAGACTAGAGGTGGAGGCATCTGTCAAAGTAGAGCAGGTCTAGGGCCCCTTGTTCTGAGATGGCAGAGCACCCTACAGGTCAGGCTTGCAGTTCAGGATGGAAGATGAGTGCTCTGAGGGACTTTATTCTGTGATGTAAGAGGTGATTACTATGGGGAGTTGCAAGGGGAACAGAGGCTTAAAGAGTAGAAGGGCTGAGAAAGCTTTGAGGGCCACAGAAGACAAAGTAGAAGTTGGTTGGCAAAGGTGGCTGTAGTTTGGGCATGTTAGGTAGGACAGCCCTGGCTGGGAGAGACTGGGCTGGAACAAGAGAATGGGGTGCAGAGTCGGGCTGCTTGGTGGAGAGAAAGATGGGTGCAGAGAAGGAACGGAAGTGGTAGAAGTGCCAGTGGTCTGGTAGGAAGAGTGCGTGCTGCTGATGTCCTCTCCCTCAGCAGTGGGGAGGGCATTTTCAAACTTCTCCAAGCTGGGGAACCCCAGAAGGATCAGTCAGAACACTAAGTACTGTGTAGAGCAGAGCTATTAGCTTTTTTCAGTTGAAAAAACCTTTCATTTCTAATGCACTTTCACTTAATGTCAGATTTCAGACTTTAAAGATGCCCTGACCAGAATCTATGGAGTTGTCCCTAAGATCCAGTGCCTTCCACCTGTACAGGTCAGACATGTCACGTTTGGTCATTCTTTCTGTCCTCACTGTGGAGGTTCCAAAGTGGAGTTGTATTTGTGCATGCATGTCTGTGTCCTTGTCTGTGTGCACATGTGTGAGCATATGCTGTGTGTGCACAGGTGTGTGCATGTTTATTTGAGTGAGCATAGATGTGTTTTTGTAATAACCAATGTGATTTTTTTGACCTGATACAGGGCTAGGATTTGTTTTCTTGCCACCTAGCGCTAAGAAGAATATACCTAGCCTAGAAGGGATGGTAGTGTAGGGAAGTGGGAAAAGATAAAGTTCGAAAATGTCTGAGCATAGATGCCTACATAAATGTCTTTATGTTGCTAGTGTTAATTGTTTTAATTGCAGTTATCTGTCCTATTTATTGACAAAATTGTACTTTCATTTTTTAGCTGATAAAGATTTTATGATTAGAGTGCTGTGTACCTTTAAACACTATTCTCTCAGTGTCTTGATGTGTACGCATTGGGTGTCTGCATGAATCTTTGTAGAGGTTTTTAAATTTTTTTCCACGCTAAACACATCCCTTCACGTGGGGCTGGGAAGGTAAGTGTCCAGGGTGACTGGGGGACCAAATCTCAGGCTGAGCCCCACTGGACACAACTCAGTCACCTCAGCTGCTTGTGGCCTTCATGCTGGCCAGCCTTCTTCTGCCGATAGAGAGGGAGTTTGCTTCTAGAGTCTGGAATCTTAGCTCTGGAGCCACTGTTTTTGTCATCTTCAAGTCAGCTCTATAAAGTATCATGTTCCCCAAACTGATGAAATTCCAAGGTCTAAATTTTTAAGCATTTGTTACTTTTTATTTTCAGGGTGAGACAGTGCAAACAATTAGTCAGATAGAGTTGTGCTTCACTAAGGAGGACTTCCATTTGCGGAACTGCACGGAGCCTGGGGAACCGCTGTCACCAAAGCAGGACATGTGGCTGTCCAAGGTCACTGCCACACAGTCGATGGTGGTCTGTGAAGATGGCCCAGTCTTCTACCCCCCACCTAAAAAGACCAAGTATTGATGTCTAAATTGTGTTCTACAAATTAAGAGGAATTTACAAATCAACTGTTTTTTTAAAAACTGAATCTAAAACCTTTTAAAAATGTGTCTTGCTTTTTTCTTCAGTGTGTGTGAGTTGATTTTTGTTCCTGTCCAGTGAGTGAGTGTTCCTCTGGGTTACACTTCCTGTAAATGTATGACCTACAGCTTAGTTGGTGTCAGGCCTCACTTCCTGTCAGAAGCTACCTAGATTTAAGCCACTGCTAAGTATTGAGAAATTTAAGTACAGCCCAGGGCAGCGCTCCCCCCGCAGGTAGTATGGTCTAGAACCTTGAGGAGCACCTTCGTTCTCAAGGGTAAAATGGCTTTGTGTCTGGGCTTTGTGTCTTAGCCTTTGTGGCTGCATCACCTGTCACCTGAGTCCATGGTGGTCTGGGATGGGGTGAGGAACTTCTTGCTGTGCGAGCTTTATTGCAACTCTTTCCCCATGCATTCTATGTGGTCTCTGCTTGTGTAGAGAGGTTTTTTTCTGTTTAATCAGGTTAATGTTCTGTTGTTTTATCTAATATAGAACATAATATATACACATATTATATTAAGCATTTTTAAGTATTTAATCCCCCGAACAACTATGTTTTTAAAAGCTGTTTTCAGACTGGCTCAAAAGCAAAGCCTAATTCCATGTCTGTAGGACATAGAATCTGAAATACAGTACTTCAGAAAGGCAAAGCATGCAGGGAGACCTTCTACGTGCTTCCCAGGCGAGTGAGCAGCTCTGAGTGACAGTGTGGTGTCCTGAGCTCACACTGGGCTCCCAGTGGTTCTGCAGACAGATAGGAGAGTGGCACTGTCAGGGATTTCACAAAAGCAGTCCTTTACCTTTTCTAAGGTAGAGAGAAGAGCTGGCAGCATGCCCCCAGGGACTGTGTTCCCTACTTTGCCTCAGCCCGCCCCCCACGGCCTTGTCTCCATGCTCCCTTTTGAACTAGCACCGATTTTGTGTTTCCCCTGGGCTTGGTGGCCCAGGATGTGTTTCTCTCCTACACTGACAGTTCATGTTGAGATATAGCTGAGAGGGGCCAGGTGAAAACAGTAAGGAATTTTGCCTCTGGACTGGCAGCCTCTACCTCAGAGGGTCCTTCTGAGGGGAACTGCAGTCTTCAAGATCATTTAAATGATGGCTGTTGTTTCTCTGAGTCATCTTATAAACACATGACTCAAGGCTGGTGTTTCAAGGTCAGTATTTGCAGAGGAGCCTGGTTTTGAATTGTTATATTATAGCCTTGGAGGGTCAAGGAAGGAAGAGTTTGCAGTGCTGCTCAGATGTGGTCTAAAATCTGCCATGGCCTCTCAAAACAAGACAATTTTGAAAAGTAAGGTGTATTTGTCATCTTAGTCTAAGCATTTCTTGAGAGCAGACTGAGGTTCAAACAGGGAGGCATGCAGGGAAGATTTGCGGGCCACAGAGTAAATGGGGCTTGCGTAGGAGGAAGCCTGTCAGTGTCTTACGTGATGAGTAAAGTATAAGTGGAGCACAGCAGTTCTTGGCATCATTGTATTTCTGTTTGGGCATTTCCCAAATTCAGGTCCTTACAGTAACTCTGGCCATGCTGTTCATACTATAAACTCAGTAGAGGTGGTTAAGATAGCCTCTGGATGAGTGAGAGTCCATGCTGGGGTTTGATATTTGTACTTGTGGCTGAGCAGGCTAGGGATAGCAGGCCAGGTTTGGGCTGTGGCACCAGTGTGTCCACAGGGTACAGCACTGAGATGGGACAGAAGTGCTCATCCCTGAAGCAGTGGGAAGGAGGACCCTGGAGCTAGACAGGGAGAGGTGAGTGGAGTTACAACTGCGAAACTGCTGGAAAAATACCATAAGCAAGTTAAAAGGGTACATGGGCACCATGAAATGGCTGAGTGTCTCCCATCTCTGGTGCCTTGGAAGGGGGCATGGCGCCTGCTCAAGATGTCTTACCCTTCAGAAAGTACTGTCTGGAGTCCACCTAGTTAGTCCTGTTCCCCAGATGCAGAGCTGCAATCACCATCAACATTGTCCTACTCAGAACTGGATGTTGTGTCTTTCCATCAAAACTCCTGCCCCATCAGCTGATGATATCACATCCACTGTCATTCTAGGACAAAGCTAGAGTGGACTTGGAACTTTTTTTTTAACAGTTAACATTAATTTTTTAAATTTTATTTTGGAGAGAATAAAAAGTTTTTTAAAACATTAAAAATGATACAGAATTTCAAAATAAGATGATAGAAAATTAGCAATGGTTGTTATATTCCATATTGTTACCTTCAAAGTAGTTCTTCAAATTACCAGATACAGGCATGCAAAATTGAACAACAAACTAAGTGTTAAATGTTCCTTTCATTAAACCAATAGAAATTAGTAGTACAAGTATCTTAGCTATCACATGCATATGTGTGTATATATATATTTCCCTTCCTTTTCTCCTTTCCCTCATCCCAGTTGTTCTTTCCTTTTGAACAATTTCTTTCCCTTTCAAAATATCTATTGTACCTTTTGGATTTGATTTACTCCATCAATTTCTTACACTAGGGAAGCAATACGATGTTTACACAGGTGGATCTGATTTGTTTTACTTACGAATATAGTCTCTAGTCGCATCACTTTTCCCCACAGCTTCGCCAGCATTTGTTACTGCTTGATTTTTTGATGATAGCCATTCTTTCTGGGGTGAGGTAAAATCTCAGTGTTGTTTTAATTTGCATCTCTCAAATGACCAATGATGTTGAATGTTTTTTCATATATTTATTTGCATTTGTATTTCTTCATCAGATAAGTGTTTATTCATCTTAGATACCCATTTTTGGATTAGGTCTTTGAATTTTGGGGGCTTGATTTTTTTTTTTTAATTCTGTATACATTCTCAGTAGAAGTCCTTTGAGGGACAGTTGGCTGAAATGTTTTCTCAGGGTTTTCTTTTTACTATGTTGGTAGTTTTGATGTACAAAAACTATGTTGGTAGTTTCGATGTACAAAAACTTTTCAATAAGGTGAGATCCCATTTGTTGATTCTTTGAAGTATTTCCCAGGCAGTTTGGTTTTTGTTCCTGAGCTCTCTGCCTACCTCTGTGTCTTCACGATTTCTACCTACTTTCTCTTCCAGTAAATTTAGTGTTTCTGTTTTAATATTTAGGTCTTTGATCCATTTTAACTTTAGTTTACTGCATGGTGATAGGCATGGGTCTGGTTTTAGTCTTCAGCATGTGGAGAGCCAATTTTTCCACCACCATTTATGAAAAAGGCCATCTTCCAGTGAACATATTTGGCTCCTTTGTCAAAGATAACATGGCTGAGTGTTTTTGTAGTTGTGTCTGCATCCTCTAAAATGTTCCATTGATCCTCAGGTTTGCTTTTTTGCCAGTACCATGCTGATTTTATTACAGTAGCCTTGTAGTATAATTTCAGGTCAGAGATTCTAATGCCTCCTGCCTTGCCTTTGTTGCCTGGGATTACTCTTGCTATTCTGCATCTCTTCTGGTTCCAGATTAATTTTAGGAATGTTTTCTCTAGATCTGTGAGGTATGCTAATGGTAGTTTGACTGAGATTGCATTAAATCTGTACAACACTTTTGGGAGTATGGCCATTTTCACAATGTTGGTTCTTCCTATCCATGAACAAATGATATCTTTCCATTTTCTGATACCCTCTTCAATCATCTTTTTCAGAGTACTGTAAGTTTCAGTGTATAGATCTTTACTTCTTTTGTTAGATTGATTCCTAAGTATTTCAATTTTTGGATGCTATCATGAAAGGTATGATTTCCCTAATTTCTCTCTCAGTATGTTTGTTGCTTGTGTACGGGAATGCTATTGATTTTTCAGTGTTGACTTTGTATGCAGCTGTGTTACTGAATTTAGTTATTAAATCTATAAGCCTTTTGGTGGAGTTTTTTGGGTCTTCTCTGTAGAGTATCATGTCATTTGTGTATAATGGTAATTTTACTTACTCCTTTCCTATTCTTACTCTTTTATTTCTCCCTCTTGTCTAATTGCTCTGGCTAGTGTTTCCAGAATTATTTTGAATACGACTGGTGATAGTGGATGTCCTTATCTTGTTCCTGATTTTAAAGTGAAAGCTTTCAGTTTTTGTCCATTTGTTGGCTATTGCATTGTTACAGATTGCTTTTGTCAGATTGAGGTAATGATCATCTGTTCCAAATTTCTGTAGGGTTTTTTATCATGAATGAGTGTTGGACATAAGAGCTTTTTCTTCATCTATTGAGATGATCATGTGATTTTTGTCTTTGGATGTATTAATATGGTGTATTACATTTATTAATTTGCATGTATTGAACCATCTCTGCATTCAGGGGATGAATCCCATTGCTCATGATGTGTAATCTTTATGATTTGCTGCATCCTGTTTGCTAGTATTTTGTTGAGGGTTTTTGCATGTGTTCATTAGAGAAATTGTCCTGTAGTTCTCTCTTTTGGTTGAGTCTTTCTCTGGTTTTGAGATCAGGGTAATACTTGCCTCCAAGGATGAGTTTAGGGAGAATTTCTTCCCTTTCAATTTCATTAAAGACTTTGAGAAATATTGTTGTTAAATCTCCTCTAAATTTCTTGTAGAATTCAGTTGTGAATCCATCAGAACCTGGGCCTTTTTTTTGTTGGTAAGTTTTTAATTGCATTTTCAATTTAATCAACTTATATTGGTTTATTTAGGATTTTTATATCTTCTTGATTCAGTTTTGGTAATTTGTATTATCTAGGAATCTGTCCATTTCTTCTGTGTTTTCCATCCTATCAGAGTAAAGATTTTAGAAGTAGGTGTTGATGATCTTCTGAATTTCTATAGGATCTGTAATGATTTCTCCCTTTTCATTCCTCATTGCATGAATTTCAGTTTTTTTCTTTCTTTTTTTTTGATAAGGTTGGCTAAGGGTTGATCAATTTTATTTATTGTTTCAAAGAACCAACTCTTTGATTCATCAATTCTTTGTTTTGTTTTCTTAGTATCCATTACATTAATTTCTGTTCTGATCTTTATACCTTCCTCCCTTCTTTGGGGTTTGAGCTTGACTTGCTGTTCTTTTTCTAGAAGCTTGAGGTACAGAATAAAGTTATTT